GAGGAGGAGGAGGACGACGACGATAACGACCGCGACCACGACCACGACGACGGCGACGAGAGGAGGAAGAGGAGTCCTCTTCCTCCTCCTCCCCTTCTCTCCTCCCAGAGGAGGAAGCGAGGAGGACGCAGAGGGGGGGGAGGAGTCAGGAGGCACCTCGCCCTCCAGACACGGAGGCCGCGAGGCCCCCCCCTTCCCCGGGCAGGTCCCGCAGCGGCCCGGCGCGGCGAGACGGCGCGCCCGCGCAGAGGCGAGGGCGGCGGCGGCGGGGAGCGCGCGGAAAAGGGTCCTCGACCTGCAACCTGGAGCGAGTCGGGGGGCAGCGTTCGGGGGGAGGGCAAACAAAACACGTTTTCCTGATTCGCGGCCGCGGCCGCCACCGAATGCCGCGACCACGCCGCGCGCCACTGCGCCAAGTTGACCATTGCTTTCCGCTCCTCGTGTTTCGGCGCGACCTGCTGAGCTAGCTCCTCCCCCAAGGGGGAAGGCATCGACCCCCAGTCGCCCACGGGTCGCCGCCGGGGGCCCCCATCGGGCGGAGTTTTGCCATCGGGGGCCCATGGCCGACCCGTTGGCGACGCATCGCCGGCTCCAGCTCGACGTCACCCCGCCTCCGGAGCTGATCCCCCCCCCCCTGAACGTTCCCCCTCAGATCAGAAGGGCGGGCGGAGGAGGAGGGGAGGGGGGAGGGAGGGACAGGGAGGGGAGGGGGGAGGAGAGGGGAGGGGGGGAGGGAGGGACAGGGAGGGGAGGGGGAGGAGAGGGGAGGGACAGAGGGAGGGACAGAGGGAGGGGAGGGGGGAGGGGAGGGGAGGGACAGAGGGAGGGACAGAGGGAGGGGAGGGCAGGGGAGGGGAGGCACTAGGTGCGCTAGCGTCACATCTGACGCCCTACCCATCCTTCCCATCCCTTACCATGGCGTAGATATCCTATCGATTCGCACTGCCGGATGTCGAGCAGGGCAGTCATCCTAAGAGGGAACGCGATGGGTGGAAAAGCATGGCGTAGAAGAGGACGACAGAGCATAGCATGTCATAGCACTGGGTGGCATTGCGTAGTGAAGTATTGCATCATAAAGCATAGCAACGCAAAGCATGGCATCGCACAGCGATGCACAGCACAGCATCGCATTGCATGCCGTGGCATGGCACCAGATGACTGAGAGGTAAGTGGCCCGTCTACGAGAGGACAGGGCCTGTCCAGAATGCAGGCTCTCTTCCGCAACCGTGCTTGCCCGATGTAGGCGTTTTCGAATGCCAAGTGCCGTCCAGAGGCGCGGGAACGAGGCCAGCGTTGCAGCGGGAACACGATGTTGAATGACCGAAGCGTGGAAATGAGGGTGGCGTTGCAGCGGGAATACGATTTAGAATTATCCCAGTGCGACCCTACCTAGGAGTTGGAGCATTGGAAAGCAACATCTACATCTACACCGACAGCTACAGTTATGCTATGCTATGCTAGGGTACGCTCGGCTTCGCTGTGTTATGCTAGGCTATGCTATGCTATGGTATGCTGCGCTATGCTATGCTATGTTATGGTTTGCTATGCTGGGCTATGCCATGCTATGCTATGATGCGCTATGTTATGCTGTGCTAGGCTATGGTATAATATGAGATGCTGCGCTATGCTATGATATGCTATGCCATGATGTGCTGTGCTGTGCTATGTTATGCTGCGCTATGCTAAGCAATGCTAGGTTATGCTATGCTATGCGATGCTGCGCGATGCTATGCTATACTATGATATGCCATGCTGAACTATGCGATGCTATGCTATGATATGCGTGGCTATGTTATGCGATGCTGTGCTAATGCTGCGCTGTGCTAAGCTAAACTAAGCTAAGGTCAGCTAAGATATGATAAGCTAAGCCAGGCTAGGCTAAGCTAAGCTAAGCCAATCTAGGCTAAGCTAAGATGATATAAGCTAAGCTAGGCTAGGCTAGGCAAAGCTAAGCTAAGCTAAACTAAGCTAAGATTATATAAGCTAAGCTAAGCTAAACTAAGCTGGGTGAACCCAGGGGGCGCAACTGGGGGAACCGCGGGGCGGGTGCCGGGGGAACCGCCCGGGGCGGGGAACCCTGCCCGGCCCTTTTAAGCTTACCGAGTGCGAACCCTTCTAGGCAGAGCCCAGGTAGGGAAAGAGCCAGATATACGGTTGAATTGAAAAAGCACCAGAAAACAAAAAAAAACAAAACAAACAAAACAAACACAACAAAAAAAACAAAACAAAAATCCTGAAACCCGTTGTGTAAAGAACAATACGCGCAGAGGACGGGACGCTCTCTGGACAGAGTGAGGGGGGAGAGACGAGAGCAGTATTCATATGGTATAATTCTGGGGAGGGGAGGGGAGGGGAGGGGGAGGGGAGGGGAGGAGAGGGGAGGGAGGAGGGAGGGGGGAGGAGGAGGAGGAGGGAGGAAGGAGGGGAGGGGAGGGGGGGGGAGGAGGGGAGGCGGGGAGGCGGCAGCAGGAGCGGGAGCGGGAGGGGGAGGAGGTGGAGG